TCCCTCCTTCATGTGTGTGTATATCCACCATCAAATATGCATATACCCACAATTATATCTCTTACTGGTATGTATATCCACGTACAAGTGTATATATCCCTCCTACAGAAGTGAATATACCTTTAGAGGTGTGTTTTTCCAATTATTGGTGAGTATATCTCCTCTACAGATGTCTGTACTTCCGCTACAGGTTCTTACATCCCCGAAGACACGTGATCCTTCTCCTACTGCTGTGTATATACACAATATTTATGTATATATCCCCTACAGGTGTGTAAATATCTCCCTACAGATGTTTAAATATCTCCCTGCAGGTGTGTGTGCCCCTGGAACACCTGGGGACCCAGATGTAAGATGTTGACCCGCTCGTTCGAGGGTGATGGGTGGCTCTGGCTTCGTCCCTTACCACCCTGCCTGCCTACCACCGTCTCTCTGCGCCTCTTAACCTCTCATCCCAACGCTATCCTCCTCTATTCTGGGCCTCTCACAGCCTCTGTGGAACAACCTATTATCCCACCTGGCCATCCAATCCCACCCATCCTCGTCCTGCAGCTAGTGGAAGGTCGGCCACAGTTGATATTACAAAGACCAGAAGGGTTGCTAAGAGTGCAGGTCGAAGCCACAGTCAATGACGGGGAATGGCACACGATCCACGTGCGTCTGGATGACCAGGTTTGTTTACTCTTTGTGCTCAGATGCTAGTGTACGATAATTAATGTTATCGCACGATAAGGTAAGGTAATGAACAGGAGAAAGCAAAAAAATCCATTACGACTATTTAACACTTGGATGGGATGAGGATAAGGATTTAGGATTGGACGGAGGAATGGAATGGTGCCCAAACACTTGGACGTTCGGGAATTAAACGCCGACCTGCAAGACATGTATGCAATGTGGCAAGAATTCACTTCTCTAAGACACTAAGTGTGCAGGCATTAATAGCTACCTTGCTCACGTCTCTATAACAACAGCTCCTCATACTGTCGAGAAAAATTGAAGTTTAAATAAAGCATTGTTTATTCTTGGTCTATACTCAGCGGTAAGACGAGAGTAATTAAGTACTAATAATCTGTAGATGACGCAATCAATATAAATATTTAAATGTTAGATATATATTTCATGGTACAGGAAGTTTGTCTTAAGACAACTAAACAAATTTAAGAAATACTAAAAATAATAAATAAAATACTATGTGTAAAAACGTTGCAAAAAGTGCTAAAAAGCAGATGGTCTACAATAATTTGCATAATTGTTTTTAGATTGTGGGTGTCATGGTGGACTATTGTGGACGTGGGTGGCAGGTAGATGATCCGGACCATTCCCACTGTCTGGCGTGGGCGGCCTGGACACGCCCCACGGGTGCTAAGGAGTGGGCAGGGGGCTGGCCATTGCAGGTGGGCGGCTTGGCTCACACACCCAGCTCTCCGGGCTCCCACGCCTGGAGTGCCACGCCCACCCCACGCCCACTGAATGGCTGCGTCTCCCATCTTACCATCAACGGTCAGGTAAGACGCGCAGGGTGGGACTTGGCGGGAGTGCTCGTGATTGGTCAAAACTCAGCGGGACTTGGCGGGAAAGCTCGTGATTGGTCAAAATTCAGCGGGACTTGGGCGAGATTATACAGCCTTGGCGGGAATGTTGTGTAAAGTGTTAAATCCATACTGATTAGACACCTAAAACGACGCTACGTAAATAGATAATTACGATTTATGTAAAGACACCTGAAATTCCTGCACTATATCTACATTTTTAGGAAATGAAGAGAAACAAATGTCAAAATTATAAAGTGTGTAACCTACAGCCAAACACCATCTCTGTGGCACTCTACATGTAAACTTTTGCAACCTTGTTATATCACATGTAGACAAATATGTAAACTATCTCCAACGACCTACATAATCAAATTCCAATATGTAATGTAATTCAAATGTTTGATAATTAAATATAAGGCGTACATATACATTACAACCTTGTTAAACAACATTCACATGGGGGGGGGGGACTGATTCAAATTTTTTGTGCTATCCTGAAAGTCACAGGATGAGCAAGAAACGTGTCGTACCCATCCAAACGTGTTGTTTGGTAAACTCATCCTATGAGTTTACCAAACTCATAGGATGAGTTTGATAAAACCTCAAAAGTATGGGGAATACAAATCGATCATGTGGAGAGTGGATAGGATTTGGCGGAACTGGAGGTGACAATATAGGATAAACTGGACTGGATAGGATTCGGGCCGGACAGTACTGGAATAAAGATTGGACTGAACTGGACAGAATGGTGCTGAAAATTACTAGATGGGGTTGGACAGAACAAGGCTGAACTGAATATGAAAATGGGATTGAGATGGAATATGCGGGGGAGGAGGGGGGGGGCAGCTGAAGCAGTCACACTCACTCTCCCACAGTGTTCCCACAGCTGGAGGACCTCGGCTCGCCGCCCAACGCCCACAACACAGCCTCCGGGTGCCGCCCACAGCAGGAGGCCTGCCCATGGGGGTGTGGCCCCCGGGGGCACTGCGCAGGCGGCCTACACCGCCCCCAATGTCAATGTATGGCTGGGTGGAGTGACCAGAACTGCGCCACGCCCACAGTACCCGTCACTCTGCGCTCCTCATCTTACCTGAAGACTGCGCTGTCCTTCACTCCAGGGTCGTGGGAAGTGAGCGCGCAGGTGCGCATCAGAATGACGGCTGCTCGGCATGGATTGATACTGAGGCTTGCTCAGCGCCATCACCGCTCAGCGCTCAACCTGCAGGTTAGTGTGCGCTTGCAGAGGCATCTGCGCTCACTGGTGGTGATGGACGCAGCCAGATGAACTGTGAAATTGTTGAATGTTTGTGTCCTGTTGGTATGTCTTTGCGTGTATCCTAATCTGCCTATTCATTTAATTAATCTCTGTCTATCTATCTAGGTTTCATCTTTCGTACTCTCTCTCTCTCTCTCTCTCTCTCTCTCTCTCTCTCTCTCTCTCTCTCTCTCTTCTCTCTCTCTCTCTCTCCTCTCTCTCTCTCTCTCTCTTCTCTCTCTCTCTCTCTCTCTCTCTCTCTCTCTCTCTCTCTCTCTCTCTCTCTCTCTCTCTCTCTCTCTCTCTCTCTCTCTCTCTCTCTCTCTCTCTCTCTCTCTCTCTCCTCTCTCTCTCTCTCTCTCTCTCTCTCTCTCTCTCTCTCTCTCTCTCTCTCTCTCTCTCTCTCCTCTCTCTCTCTCTCTCTCTCTCTCTCTCTCTCTCTCTCTCTCTCTCTCTCTCTCTCTCTCTCTCTCTCTCTCCTCTCTCTCTCTCTCTCTCTCTCTCTCTCTCTCTCTCTCTCTCTCTCTCTCTCTCTCTCTCTCTCTCTCTCTCTCTCTCTCTCTCTCTCTCTCTCTCTCTCTCTCTCTCTCTAACTATCTCTCTCTCTCTCTCTCTCTCTCTCTCTCTCTCTCTCTCTCTCTCTCTCTCTCTCTCTCTCTCTCTCTGATCATTGTTTTATATCCAATAAACTAACTGTGTATGGTCCAACCATTATCCCAATATTTGTCCTCATTGTTCACAAGTTGGTTGAAAGTTCTTGCCCCATAAACTCTAAAGCGTTTCATATATTTCCCGAAACTTTAACCATCAATATTCCCTTAAATATTGTTGCAGCCTGGCTGTATATTGAAATTTTTCAAGAGGTAGTTTAGAAACGGAAGCATAAAAGAGTAAAGTTCCGAGCAAATCTCCAGGAAAGTTTAATATTTCGTTTGGATGTTAATAATATATTTGTATACATATTTGTGTTTGAGCCATATAAAAAATACTATGGAGGAAAGACATATACTTTGTATAGAGGACGTGGCTAGTCATTTATACTAAGAAAACCAGCATATATACATTCATTTCTGTCCATTTCGGACAGTGTTAGAGGTCTGTTAGACATCATATAGTTTAGTGGGTTAATGAGCACTCAACCACACAAGATGATTAGTGAGCTTTTACAATGCTAAACAGTATGGATGCATTCTCTTTTGTCCTACACAAGCTGAAAGATCTGTTATCTTATATATAGATTACTTGATTATTGAGTGCTCAGTCACAGAATGTGATTGATGTGCATTTACAATGACAAATTATAAATTCTGATCTGCTTACACATATATGAACACACACACACTTATATATATATATATATATATATATATATATATATATATATGTATCATTGAATATATATATATTATGTATTTATTATTTCTGGTTAGGGCTTCTATCCCTCTAACTATTTTTCTTAGCATCAGGGCTAATTGGAATAGGAGTTCTCCAAACTCATTTTCGTACTTTTAAGGTGAAGAAAAGAAGTGATTTACTATAGAGTGTATTACACTTATTTGTATAATTTGCACGACGTTTCGAACCTCCATGGTTCATTCTCAAGTGAACAGATCTTACAATACTAGTTGATTTTATACCCGCATTAGGTCAGGTGATAATACAATGAAGGTGAAAAACATGGGGGGATACATAAGGGATAAACATAGGGGCTGCAGAAGGTTATTGGCCATACGAGGCATCTCCTATCTAAACACAAAGATTAATCCAGTGTAATTGGCCTGTTATGTTGGACATTGTCTTCTGTGTTGGCATCGATATGTTCTTGTCTGTCCTTACTCTCATGGTGGGAGTAAGGACAATAAGACATATATATTTATATGTCTAAATTGCCTAAGCAGAGGGAATGAATTCTGCGGTACGGGATGAACATAGGCTGGTCGGAGTGGCAACAATTCAAAAGGGAACAGTATTATGCTTGTGCCACATTCAGCAGTCTGTTCTCCCAATTTTTCCAACGTCACGAAACTGTCGTACTAAAATCCACTATCCTAACCCTCCAGAGGACCCAAAACGAAAAACCAAACAGTATGAAAATTTCGCTGTTGTTCGTTGTTTTAGATTCAGCTACTTGGAACAATAAGTTCCAAGTAGCACGGGCTATGGTGAGCCCGTAGTGGACTTTCTAGCACGACGATATTTGGCCTTCGGTAAAGTCCGGCTCAAAAGGCGAACTTCAATTATGAGGGACACTTCCGGCCAGCAACATATTGTCAAAACAAACTTTTCAAACAAAAGAATTTCCTACAGTAATATACACCACTATTCAGTGATCTCAGAAAAAACATCAAATTTTCTGGTGTACTTGCATAACCCAGATGGTTCTGCCACAGCTTCTAAGCTTTCTCGAGCCTCAGCCATTAACCAGACTAAGGGGTAACTACTCTATTTTTTTTTTTTAGTATGTCACACCATTGAGCTCCACCCATTGGCGACCACTCACTAGACAATTATATTTGTTATAAGAGAGACAGACAGACAGAGACAGGCATAAAGTCACCGCAACAGAGACAGACAGACAGGTAGATAGGTCGATGAATAGATTGATAGAAGTACAGAGTGACAGATGAGTAGGTGGAAGTATAAATATCTGGATGGCGATGGGGCAGTGGTAACACATTCGCCCCGCACTTCACCAGCTATTTAGCCTGGGTTTGTATCCTGGCCGAGGAAAGATTGACTAGGTGCCAATACTTGACTGTACGCCTCTGTTCACCCAGCAGGGATTGGGTACCTGATTGTTAAACGATTGGCGAGTCGTATACCCGGGTAAACTAACGGTGATAAATTTAACGATGTTTAACGGTGATAAATTCCAGGTACTCAGATACGGCAAAAATGAGGATCTTAAACATAATACAGAGTACAAAACACAATCGAATCTGCCCATAGTAGGAAAACAGCATGTCAAGGATTTGGGAATAATGATGTCCGACGACCTAACGTTTAGGGAGCATAACCAAGCAAGTATTGCGTCAGCCAGAAAAATGATAGGATGGATAACGAGAACTTTCAAGTCCAGAGATTCCATCACAATGGTTGTACTCTTCAAATCACTTGTGTTGTCCTGTCTTGAGTACTGCTCAGTACTCACTTCCCCCGTCAGAGCAGGAGAGATTGCTGAAATTGAGGGAATACAGAGAACATATACGGCACGCATAGACGAGATAAAGCACCTAAATTATTGGGATCGTCTCAAAGCTCTCTAAATATACTCACTAGAAAGGAGACGAGAGAGATACCAAATAATATACACATGGAAGATACTGGAGGGCCAGGTCCCAAATCTACACAGTAAAATAACAACATACTGGAGTGAACGATATGGAAGAAAATGCAGAATAGAACCAGTGAAGAGCAGAGGTGCCATAGGCACAATCAGAGAACACTGTATAAACATCAGAGGTCCGCGGTTGTTCAACGTCCTCCCAGCGAGCATCAGAAATATTACAGGAACAACCGTGGACATCTTCAAGACGAAACTAGATTGTTTCCTCCAAGGAGTGCCGGACCAACCGGGCTGTGGTGGGTATGTGGGCTTGCGGGCCGCTCCAAGCAACAGCCTGGTGGACCAAACTCTTACAAGTCAAGCCTGGCCTCGGGCCGGGCTTGGGGAGTAGAAGAACTCCCAGAACCCCATCAACCAGGTATCAACCAGGTAAACTAGAGGAAAGGAAACTTGCTATAGGATAGGAAAGCTCTCAGCCAGGTAACAGGAGTCAGCAGTCGTCTGCTCCTGTGTAGACAAAGTAACATAAAGAAGGGGGGGGGGTAAGTAAACATTTGGGATGTTAGTGTAATCTGTAATGTTCCCGCTTGGTGACCCTGACCACTGTTATAGCTACGTGCGGGCGTGGCGTGCGTCTCCGTGTCTGGCGTGGGGTGGGTGGCGCGGGAGGCGTGCGTGTTGGGGCGACCCTTGCACGACGGGGCGTGGCACGTCGTGCGGACGGAACGACACGGCCACAACCTCGTCATCAGCGTCGACGACGGCGACCTTTGGCTCCGAAACGAGACGCTGGCGACGCTGGACGTCATGAGTGCCCCGGGGGGAGGCGAGAATGGGCGCGGGGTGAGGACACCGCCCCCAGGCACCTCACCCCGCGGGCCCCTGCCGCCGCCTCCGCCCCTGGAGGTGGACAGACACGACGGAGTGACGGTCGGAGGCGTGCCGGAGTTCGTGGGTGTCAGCCTGGTGGCCGTCCACCACGACCTCCACGACGGTGAGTCACGACACCTGCTCTTACGAAACCTGTGTATCTTTCCTTAATCATGGGCGGCTGTGTTTATAACCCCTCTATGATTAGTTAACAGTTTACGAGCTCGGAAGCGCTACGAGGTTGTTTTAAGAATGATAACCTTGGGATACGAAGCTCGCAAACTCTTTAAGAAATGTAAACTATGATTGGGGAAAGATATATGGGTTTCGTAAATGTTTGAGAGAGTCCGGGCCCCTGCTGTTTGGGGTCCCGAGACTCTAATTGCTTACCCTTCAAGGTAAAGTCATATAAGTTGTTTGAGTCTTTAAGTCCTAACTATTAATTTTCTGATCGTTCCTTATCCTCTGTTATCTTCATGGGTTTCTTATCTTGTTATCTTCATGTTTCCTTATCCTCTGTTATCTTCATGTTTCCTTATCCTCTGTTATCTTCATAGTTCCTTATCCTTCATTATCTTCCTGGTTCCTTATCCTCTGTTATCTTCAAGGTTCCTTATCCTCTGTTATCTTCATGGTTCCTTATCCTCTGTTATCTTCATGGTTCCTTATCTTCATAGTTCCTTATCTTCTGTTATCTTCATGGCTCCTTATCCTCTGGTATCTTCAAGGTTCCTTATCCTCTGTTATCTTCATGGTTACTTATCCTTTGTTATCTTCATGGTTACTTATCCTTTGTTATCTTCAAGGTTCCTTATCCTCTGTTATCTTCATGGTTCCTTATCCTCTGTTATCTTCAAGGTTCCTTATCTTCATAGTTCCTTATCTTCTGTTATCTTCATGGCTCCTTATCCTCTGTTATCTTCAAGGTTCCTTATCCTCTGTTATCTTCATGGTTCCTTATCCTGTTATCTTCATAGTTCCTTATCCTCTGTTATCTCCATGTTTCCTTATCCTCTGTTATCTTCATGGTTCCTTATCCTCTGTTATCTTCATAGTTCCTTATCCTCTGTTATCTTCATGGTTCCTTATCCTCTGTTATCTTCACAGTTCCATATCCTCTGTTATCTTCATGGTTCCTTATCCTCTGTTATCTTCAAGGTTCCTTATCTTCATAGTTCCTTATCTTCTGTTATCTTCATGGTTCCTTATCCTCTGTTACCGTCTTCCTGCAGTGTGCTTGGACGACTTGAGGGTATCAGGGCGGCCTCTGCCTCTCCCGCCCTCCTCCAATGGCACTGCCTGGGGCCAGGTGACGACGCTGGAGGGCCTGGAGAAGGGGTGCCACGTGCTGGACCCCTGTGAGGGTGCCAACTGCTCTCCCCCACTCTCCTGCACCACCACCTGGGGCCAACCCGTCTGTAGGTGAGAAATGCAAAACGTTACATGAAGACTTTGGTGAGTTTCTGGAATGGGCAGACAAGTGGCTATTAGAGTTCAATCTCAAGATGTGTCAGGTGATGAAGGTTGGAATAAGAGACCAGAGAATGTACATAATAAGGGAAGGGAACTATCAGAGGCGGGGGGGAGGGGGGAAGCGCCAAGCCATTACGACTATATAGCACTGGGAAGGGGTCAGGATAAGGATTTGGGATGGGACGGGGGGGATACTTGAAATGTGGACATAATTCACGTATTAACACCAGAACTACATATAGTGGAGCCCGTAAGTATTTGGACACCAACACAATGTTATTTTCCTGTGTTCCAGCACGTTGTATCCAAGATGAACGATGCCTAACATGTTAGAGTGTAGACATTCAACTTTAACTTGAGAGTACTGACACCAATTTCAAGGGGGAGTGTGTGGGAACTACTCCCTACACACTCCCCCTCTGTGAAGGTACGCCATTACAATATTTTACACCACTCGTAAACAGATTTGAGAGCAGTAGTGTGTGGAGGGAAGCGGTCATTAACGTGACCAAGATGACAATAAGTAATAGCTGTATTACCCACAAGTTACCCATAGAAAACGTAACTTGTAGTGGAATTACTCCACCACCAGTCTCCTGTGCTGTACTGTATTAAAGGCTTTTTGGCAGTCCAGAAATATGCAGTCTGCCCAACCTTCTCTGTCCTGCCTTATTCTTGTTACTTTATCAAAGAATTCCAAAAGGTTTGCTTGGCTTGAGTTCCCTTCCCTGAACCCATGTTGGTGTTTGTTTACAAACCCGGTGTTCTCCAGGTGTGTAACAAGTGTAAGCCTCATTATTCTTTTAAGTATTTTGCAGGGGATGCTTGATATGTGTGTGTGTGTGTGTGTGTGTGTGTGTGTGCGTGTGCGTGTGCGTGTGCGTGTGCGTGTGTGTGTGTGTGTGTGTGTGTGTGTGTGTGTGTGTGTGTGTGTGTGTGTGTGTGTGTGTGTGTGTGTGTGTGTGTGTGTATGTATGTGTGTGTGTGTGTGTGTGTGTGTGTGTGTGTGTGTGTGTGTGTGTGTGTGTGTGTGTGTGTGTGTGTGTGTGTGTGTGTGTGTGTGTGTGTGTGTGTGTGTGTGTGTGTGTGTGTGTGTGTGTGTGTGTATGTATGTGTGTGTGTGAGAGAGCTCCCACTCCCTGTATACTCGTGTGTCAGAATGGCCAACAAGTGGAGCGGCCTGGAAGACAAAGTCATGGAAGCCACCTCCAGTCACACCCTCAAGGCCAGATACGACTCACAACTCAAACATTAGTTAAGTTTTACTAATACACAAAATCTTTAGCTACTAAAGGAGTAGTGGGCTGGGCACCTAGAGCTAGACCTAACTCCCCTGTGGTCGTTGCTAGGTAAGAATAACCTGAATTCGTAACTATTGTTAATAGATAATGCTCTTGTAATCTGCTTAGCTAATGATCATTGTTGTTGTTGTTAAAGATTCGCTACCTGGAACAAAAAGTTCCAAGTAACACGGGCTATGGTGATCCCGTAGATAGTTATTAAAGATCATTATGAGAAATTTTATTTAAGGAAAACTTACTGATGACCCTAAACAAAGTTTACATTATCGACGTTTTTAGCTAAACGAATACTGGAACGGGAGTGACTGTAGCCCCTCCCACCGTAGCCTCGTGTCGGGATTTTGGTACATGAGGACAAATATGAACAAAAAAGTAAAGAGTTGAACATTAGTGTTATGTTCAATCATTGTAACATGTTTAGCTTCATTAGAGAATGTTGCTGTTTAGCATCTGTGGTCGTCTCCTTACCGCCCTGTGTCACCGGTGGTGGGTATGTAATAATCTAGTTTAACCGGCTTTCATCATGTGAGCATCTCTCGTCTCCTCCCAAGCCTCGCTAACACACCCCTTGCCCTCCAGGTGCGGCCCAGGGAGCGAGCTAGTGGGCCGCACTTGTGCCGACGTGGATGAGTGTATGTGCGGCCCGTGTCTCCACGGCGGCACCTGTCTGAACCAGCAGCCAGGGTACAGCTGCCTCTGCGGCCCGGGATACCAAGGATCCAGCTGCCAGTGGCCCACCCTGGCCACGCCGGTTCATCCCCTGGCCGCTCCTCTCACCGTGGCGGCCCTGGCCGCATCTTTGCTTCTCGTGGGTCTGTGTATTGTGGTTTTGGTTCGCATTCTAAGGCCTATTGCCCTCTGGAGGGATATTAAGGTCACTGACCAACCAGCAAGAATACTTTAGTCCTGAATATAGTCCAGAACTACAGTAAACTCTCAGTGTATATACACCGAAAAGCTGAGTATACCTCGCAGTGTATATACACCGAGAAGCTGGGTATACCTCTCAGTGTATATATACCGAGAAGCTGGGTATACCTCTCAGTGTATATACACCGAAAAGCTGAGTATACCTCGCAGTGTATATACACCGAGAAGCTGAGTATACCTCTCAGTGTATATACACCGAGAAGCTGGGTATACCTCTCAGTGTATATACACCGAGAAGCTGGGTATACCTCTCAGTGTATATATACCGAGAAGCTGGGTATACCTCTCAGTGTATATACACCGAGAAGCTGGGTATACCTCTCAGTGTATATACACCGAGAAGCTGAGTATACCTCTCAGTGTATATACACCGAGAAGCTGGGTATACCTCTCAGTGTATATACACCGAGAAGCTGGTTTACCTCTCAGTGTATATACACCGAGAAGCTGGGTATACCTCTCAGTGTATATACACCGAGAAGCTGTACCTCTCAGTGTATATACACCGAGAAGCTGGGTATACCTCTCAGTGTATATACACCGAGAAGCTGGGTTTACCTCTCAGTGTATATACACCGAGAAGCTGGGTTTACCTCTCAGTGTATATACACCGAGAAGCTGGGTATACCTCTCAGTGTATATACACCGAGAAGCTGGGTTTACCTCTCAGTGTATATACACCGAGAAGCTGGGTTTACCTCTCAGTGTATATACACCGAGAAGCTGGGTTTACCTCTCAGTGTATATACACCGAGAAGCTGGGTATACCTCTCAGTGTATATACACCGAGAAGCTGGGTTTACCTCTCAGTGTATATACACCGAGAAGCTGGGTATATACCTCTCAGTGTATATACACCGAGAAGCTGGGTTTACCTCTCAGTGTATATACACCGAGAAGCTGGGTTTACCTCTCAGTGTATATACACCGAGAAGCTGGGTTTACCTCTCAGTGTATATACACCGAGAAGCTGGGTTTACCTCTCAGTGTATATACACCGAGAAGCTGGGTATACCTCTCAGTGTATATACACCGAGAAGCTGGGTTTACCTCTCAGTGTATATACACCGAGAAGCTGGGTATACCTCTCAGTGTATATACACCGAGAAGCTGGGTTTACCTCTCAGTGTATATACACCGAGAAGCTGGGTTTACCTCTCAGTGTATATACACCGAGAAGCTGGGTTTACCTCTCAGTGTATATACACCGAGAAGCTGGGTTTACCTCTCAGTGTATATACACCGAGAAGCTGGGTTTACCTCTCAGTGTATATACACCGAGAAGCTGGGTTTACCTCTCAGTGTATATACACCGAGAAGCTGGGTACCTCTCACCTCCTCAGTGTATATACACCGAGAAGCTGGGTTTACCTCTCAGTGTATATACACCGAGAAGCTGGGTTTACCTCTCAGTGTATATACACCGAGAAGCTGGGTATACCTCTCAGTGTATATACACGAGAAGCTGGGTTTACCTCTCAGTGTATATACACCGAGAAGCTGGGTATACCTCTCAGTGTATATACACCGAGAAGCTGGGTTTACCTCTCAGTGTATATACACCGAGAAGCTGGGTATACCTCTCAGTGTATATACACCGAGAAGCTGGGTTTACCTCTCAGTGTATATACACCGAGAAGCTGGGTTTACCTCTCAGTGTATATACACCGAGAAGCTGGGTATACCTCTCAGTGTATATACACCGAGAAGCTGAGTATACCTCTCAGTGTATATACACCGAGAAGCTGGGTTTACCTCTCAGTGTATATACACCGAGAAGCTGGGTTTACCTCTCAGTGTATATACACCGAGAAGCTGGGTTTACCTCTCAGTGTATATACACCGAGAAGCTG